CAGCTCTCCTCTCCTTCCTTGCGCAAAACAGTCTCTTCAGTGTGTTGGGAGGTCTATGGAGAAGGGCAGAGTATCTGGAGAACACTGGGCCTTCAGCAAATGGAAATATAAACAGACTGTTACTCTGAACAAACGTATTTTCTTTTTGCATGATCTCTATTCACGCAAGCCAAACCACACCATCCCAAAGCTCTTCCTAGGCTGAGCGGATAAGAAAACCCACAGAGATGAAGAAAAGCTTTATTTTGAGTCCAGGAAGATCCTGTGTCCTCAGAGTGAGGTGAGATGGGGATGCAGAAAGGAGCGTGGGCTTCCAACTGAGGCACGCTCATGTAGTTGCGGATGAAGGCTGAGGGATGCCAGTTCTGACCAAGTGCTAGGTCCTCTTTGATCATCACCAGGTGGTTTGCATTGTGCAAATTGCAAAAACTATCCTGCAGGGGGCAGTCTTTAAGCTGCAGGCTGCTCATCTTTACAAAGACAACAACCTATATTAGTTGAGATTCAAGAAAGTAAACACTTCTTTAAATGTCTATGGACCTGTTGTCCAAGTGTGCCCATCATTGTGATCAGGCTGCTCTGTGGCTCACAGGGATAGCCAGTTAAAATGGTGTCAAGAAGATCAACGAGCTGGCATCTCCATCACATGCACAATTTTATTTAGATGACGATGGCTTTTATTGCTGGGATGGAAGCATCTGGCATTCAGCACAGAACACATCCAAAGGCTCAAATATTCGGAAAAAACATTTGTGGTTTCAGTGAGTTTGGGATCTTGGCTTCCAGCCACAGCCTCTGCAGCTCCTGAGTGCTGAAAGTGGCTGAAGGCAGGTTGCCCTCTGCACCTTCTCTCTGAGTGACATAGATCTAGTGACAGCTGGCACAGACAGCATTTGGCACATTCATGCCCTCCAGGGTTATGCGGTTCCTGATGCCATACACTCAGTCTACCAGCTGACTCCACTTTCTGGGCCAAGGAAGCACCACAGGACAGACCAGATCCAGTGACAGGCTGCAGGCTTAGAGTGGCCCCCAGGGACCTGACTCTGTAGATTGCTCTGCCAGCCCCATTCAGTAAATCTGCATGGAAAGTAAGAAATCTGACACAGGAGACTGTGCCCAAATTGAACAAACTTCAAATGAGAGGTCAGCTTATTTCTTTACTTATTCATGGAAAGGAAAAGTCTGGGAGGTGCCTTTGGTTTCTCATGCAGTTCGATTCAGTGTTATTTGTTGATTTCCTGTGTGCATGGTCAGCTCCTTGAGTAAATGAGTTGAAGCCCCTTTTTAGTCCTATCAGGCAGTCAGTTTGTCCATTGAGAGCTAAAGCTCACTTTATATATTCAGGTGCTGCAACATTGGACCCAGAGTTTGCCATTATTGTATCATTTTGCTGAGTTGACCCCTTTATGGATTATAACATGAAGTCTGCTCTGCTGGCTTCCTTTTGGCATGGGGCTTTCACTGTGTGTGAAAAGCACAGTGAGCCTCCAGGGGGAAGCACACACACACCAGGCCTCCCTTAATCCTGTCAGCCAGTCTACACCTTTAAACTGCAGAATTTAATCCATTCACAATCAAGATGGTTATTCATATGTAAGGATTAAGTACACTCTTGCCTTTTGTTTTGCTCACTGCTTCCTTTTTTTTTTTTAGAAAAAAAAATGTAATCAAAAAGGCAGAATTATAAAGAGGAGAGGCAACCAGAAAAAGATCTTCCACCCATTGGTCCACTCCACAATGCTGCAACAAGGAGTGAGGCAATCTAAAGCCAGGAGCCAGGAGTTTCTTCTGGGTCTCCAACATGGGTGCAGGATCCCAAGGCTTGGGGCCATTCTCCATTGCTTTCCCAGGACACAAACAGGGAGCTGGATGGGAAGTGGAGCACCTGGGACACAAACTGGCTCTAACATGGAATCCCAGTAGTTGTAGGTGGAAGATTCACCAATTGACCTATACTACTGGCACATGTTTTCTGATTTTATAGATCCTATCTTCACATTTGAAAATGCACAAAACCCTTTGTCTTGATCCTGGCTGCTGTGTCTTTGGTGGGAAGTGGGTGTGCGTGTAAGTTGACTGCAGGGAAACATAAGCCTCTCCAAACCCTTTCTGTGGACAAGTTCAGATGGGTTCTAAAGAGGTCTTGCTTCAAAGTAGCATTAACGGAGTCGGTGCAGACCCTCACAAGGGAACATTCCATTTTTGTTGACTCGATCTTCAATATTTTCTTGAAAATTGCTACTGCTTTGTGAGTAACCTTTGTTAGGTATGAGGAGACTGTACACAAGTGGTGTGCACCTCTCCCACCTGGGATGGCTAGGGTACACTCCGCTATGCACTTCGTCCATGCCATCCTCAGGCCTTTCCTCCCACCCATTTTTTGGTTTGGTTTGCTTCGGGAGATCTTGTATTTGCAACCTTCCAAGAAGACTCTCCCTTTGTGACCGTCTCCCTCTTAGTTTTTATAACATTATCCACACCCAACCCTGATATTTGCTGAGGAAGCTGGTTTTAGGAACCAGGAAGCTATTATTGCACAGGGGCTGGGGTCAAAGAGCCTGAGCCCAAGGCCTGTTCCTCCACTGATGAGCTGGGTGACTTTCAACATCAAACTCCGCAACAGTAAGTATGATGTTTCTATTATTTTTTAAAGGCTTATTTTTATCTGAAAGCCAGAGTTGCAGAAAGAGATATCTTCCCATCTACTAATTCACTCCCCAAATGGCAACTCCAGCCAGGACAGGGCCAAGTTCAAAACAGGATCCAAACGCTTCCTCCAGGAATCCTCTGTGAACGCAGGGGGTCCAAGCACTTGGGCTATCTTCCAGTGCTTTTCCAGACCATTAGCAGAGTGCTGGTCAGAAGTGGAACAGCTGAAACTTGAATCACTGTCCACATAAGGTGTCACCTTCACAAGTGGTAGCTTTACCTGCTATGACTCAGCTCAGGCCCCTGCTGCACCACTGTCTGCGAATTCCTAAACACCGTGTGATACTGGGATACAATAACAAAAATATATTCGGGTTTCATCCTTCTTTCCAGGCAAAAGAACTCCTTCAATCCCTTCGGATGTCCAGCTGGAAGAGCTTCTTGGATGTGCAGCATCTCTTTCCAAGAACCCCAAATTGATGCTCATGAGCAGGAGGGAGAATGGAAGCAACCACACAATCAGATCTGGCACTTGAGGCCCCGCCCGTCAGGCCCATCAGGGGAGCTCGTTGGAGATTGCCTTCATCAGCATGTGGCCAAAGATGTCACGCACTGGGCCCACATGGTGGAATCTCCATGAACCCATACAAGGATAATGGAGTCTAGAGACCTCCTGGACAGGTACACAGTCATGCTGGGAGGGATGTGTGCCTCAAGGATAGCCCAGCAGCCCTGTGCACCCCACCCTCTGCTGTGTGGCCTTACACATCACTTGCTAACCTTGACCAGCTCCCTTTAAAGTAGGTCAGTAATGGGGTTTCCCAGAGTGCTGCGCAAATGACTGAGAAGGGAACTCCTAATGTGTAGCCAAGTTGGACAGAACAGGGGATCACCTGGGCACCCACTGGCAGTTGGCGTCTGGGTGGGTACCAACTCCCAGGTAGTGAGTCAGACCTGCACTTGGTGTCAGTAGAGAACTGCTTCACAAGGGAACACCTCCGTGTGGCTTTAGGATGCAGAGGAAGTGTTTTTCATTTTACATCTAAGGCGCTGTATCCTGAGCAACCCCTTAAAGATGAACTCATTGACTCCTCCCAGCCACCATCCAGGAAGGTGCAGCAATGCCCATGTGGGAACTGGGTTAGAGCCATGTGGCCAGGCTGTCTCATGCTTGCCCAGTAGGAGGTGACAGAAGCTCATGACCAGCCCAGCAGGCTGGATCCAGGGAGCAGGCCTGGAGGTGCCACAGGCTTCTTGACGAGGAAGCTTCTGATCCTTCCTTGAGGCTCCATCTGGGCTAGCCCATGCTGTGTCTCTGCGGCTCACAGGTGGGTGTGTGCTTGCGGGGTCTGAGCCAGGAGCGTGACAGGCTCTGGTGGCACATGTGCATCCTCCTCCAGATCCCGGAAAACTGAGCTCCTCCCGTGACTCACGTACTGGAGGGTTTTGTTGTGTGTCTGTGGTGGCTCCGGTGGGTGCTCCCTAAGCCCAAGACAGGGGGATTGAGAAACTGAGTGCCAGAAAGTGCTAAGAGGAAGACAGAAGTGTTTCATTGTGAGGGGGCCAGGGAGCAAAGCTGTGTGCATCACCCTGGAGGTTGAGGGGGAGGAGAGAGAGAAGACGATTACGGGACTCAGTAGAAGAATGGCACACGGGCCCCACAGATGTGCACTGCATTTCCCTATGTGTATGGATGTGGTGCTTGGTGACTGTGTGTGTGGTATGCATAAGTAAATGCTCTCCTATGCAGGAGCACCATGCGATGGTAGCATCCCTGCTAGGGGACTGGCATGACGCAGCCATGCCACTGTGGCCATGACACAAGGTGGGAAGGATCAGTAGCCATGGGCTCCAAGAGTGCCAGCACCCAGCCTGGCATTGAGGCCATCGCCCATTGGGCGCAATGCTCACCTCTCAGAAGGAAGACTGCCAGCAGCATTAGAAAAATGACAGCATTTCCCCACCCCCGGGCAGGAGGAAGAGCCATGGCAACATTTTAATCTCTTCATCTGACATGGGTATGGCCGGGCTTCTGCTGACCAATCATCAGCTGACACCTGCAGGAGTGTCATGCTTCTCCAGGCACTGCCCTTCAGCCTCAGGCATCACACTGGCCTGCCCATGGACAGAAGCTGAGTACGTGCCATAGCGGATATGACCAGACAGGTAGCCTACCCAGTCTACAGGTGTGAGAGGCCACCCTGCTCGGGTCACCCAGGAACCCTGAAGCACCCCAGCACCCCAACACCCAAGTGCAGGCACCTGCCAGATTGCTGCAGGGACAAGGAGACCTCAGCGGGGCCCGAGCATCAGAGTGTGGGGGCTTTTAAAAAATATATATTTTTAACTTGAATCCTGAATTATGTACTACAATTTCGTATTGGCTGGGATTCCCCTGCCAATTCCCACCCTTGACAGATTTTCCCCAGTTTTCTACAATAGTGTAGTCTTTCTAAGGAATCATAATTCCATTAGGCTCTGATTTCAGTGTACCCTGATATTGTTGGTACAGACAATGTCAGGCAGTCCAGCAACCCATTGTCCACACATGCCCAACAGTTTCATTGGGAATCCATCCTTCGTCTGAAAGCAGGGAAGCATGTTCCATTATTCCCCCACATCTGTATATGATAGACCCCAGTACTCCATCACTATACATTTCCATAATTGAGAAGTCATGATGAAACAAGGTCAACAACTGGTATGAGTTAGAACAGCCACAACAACAACCATAACAACATCCACAACAAATTACAACACCATGAAAAAACACTTTAAGGCACTGTTTCTGCATCAACAACAGCTGGATGCCACTCTACCCCTGCAATACCTTCTAGAGGCCAACAGTCATCAGGCCAGCCTCAGGCTCCCCTGTTGGAGGGCGCCCATGGTTCTGGGTGGCCTGGGTGAGCCCGTCAGGGCTGAAAGTAGTGGATTCTCTGGGAAATGGATTTGCATCCTTGGGACGAGAAGCGCTGCTCCTCCTTGGGGATGTAGGTCATTGTCTGGGCAACTCTGTCCAGGGTCTCTTCTGTATATGCCAGGTCCTGGCTCAGGAAGGCATCGCGTGCACACAGCCTCACATGGTGGAACTCCAGCGGCAGGAAGGGAACGAAGGTGTCGATCAGGTTTTCCTTCACAAGATGGCTGTGGCCAAAGCTGCTGCCTGAAACCAAAACCCCCCAGAACATCAGTTACACGGTGGCTGATTTGGGAGATCAATCAAGAAGGCACCTCTGGACCTATGTCCTGTGTGGTCCCAAGTCCCTGTCCTTATGTGCACACACCCTGATGCCTCCAGCTGTGACTCTCCCTGGGGGCTTACTCCATGTGTGTGCAGCTAGCCCGGCCATGGCCACTTACCTGGGGATGCCGCCATCTCGGCCTGAAGCGTGGGTCCCAGGTGATCGATGGTGATTTCTTCCCGGGACATTCCAGCCCTCAGCAAATCCAAGACGGCCTGGTTGATGGCACTGCCCCCGAGGTTACTGCAAGAGACCAGTACAGCCTTGTTAACACTTGAGTTTTGAACTTCCAAGTGGACTGCTGGAAGGGTGCACACTGAGGCACCCCCTTCCCTCATGGGAGCGCCCACCACACCCAAAGGCCACACAGTACAGTTACCATCACTGTGGCCCTTGCTCATGCGCTCCGGACTGACACCTGCTGAGGCGGCTAGCTTCGGGGAGCACAGAGGATAAGCCAGGCTGAATCTACAGGATTCCCAGGCCGCAGCAGGTGCTGCTGGAGGAGCAGCTGAGGTTGCAGAGAGAACCACACAAGATGCCCGAACACATACAAAGCAAGTGAGTGATCATGAGACACAGATGCATCAGGGCGCCCTGGGATTCAGGGGCCAGGAGCTGCTGGGAAGGGTGGAAAGTGCACAGGCGTGGTAGAGGCTGGCACCAGGCCATGGTCTACCCAGGAAGTGGACTTCAGCCTGGGGGACACGGGGGCCATGGAGAACCACTAACAGAATCTAGCTTGTAGGAATGGGGGAACTCACCCTTTCTACTTCCTCACAAAACATTCCAGAGGGGAAAAAAAAATTCTGGGGGTGCAGAAGATGAAGAGCCACAGGTGGGGGCAAGAAGCCGGTGCCGGAGTTTCAGCCCACAGTTCACATCACGGTGATGAGATGATGAAAACAAGGACTTGATTGGGTCAGGAGGTGTAACATGGTGACCGATCATGATGTACCCGAATGGCTCCTCGCACAACAAGCCACCTCTCCGAGGGCTAAGGAAGCCTGGAGGTGGCCCACAGTGCCTCGGTTCAGTAAAATACAAGACACCTTGAGCAAAGGAGGAAGGAAAGAGCTGCTGGTGTCACGCCTTCCTATAGCCCCTAGATGCCTCACTTGCCCATCGGAGATACAGGAGAGAGTGGAGAACCAGCCGATTACCAAACTTGGACTGGAAACATGATTTTAAAAAACGTGTCAGAGAGAGGCTCGGAACCAGACTGGTAAGAAAGCACCAGGGGCAGGTGCTCGGAGGCTCAGAACCACCAGCCTGCCATGCAATCAGAGCTAGGTGGCTTGGCTTGGCTCAAGGTGGGGTCCTGGGCAGTGGGGCTTGGATTCAGGCCCATTGATTAGCCAGGTACTCAGAGGCACAGGAGCCAGCTAGCCCCAGAGGTGGGTACCCAGGTCCTGAGGCTCAGGTCGATGTGCACGCCAAGTGCTTAGAGCCAAGTGGGTCAGCTTTTCTCAGAGGTGGGGTCTTGGGCTTAGGACCCTCAGGCAATCTAGCAGTGTTGCTTTTTAAAAAATTTTTATTTCAGGGCTCGGCAGCGTGGCCTAGCAGCTAAAGTCCTACCCTTGAATGTGCCGGGATCCCATATGGGCGCCGGTTCTAATCCCGGCAGCTCCACTTCCCATCCAGCTCCCTGCTTGTGGCCTGGGAAAGCAGTGGAGGACGGCCCAAAGCCTTGGGACCCTGCACCCGCATGGAAGACCCAGAAGTTCTTGGATCCTGGCTTCGGATCAGCATAGCATCAGCTGTTGTGCTCACTTGGGGAGTTAATCATCAAACGGAAGATCTTCCTCTCTGTCTCTCCTCCTCTCTGTATATCTGACTTTCCAATAAATAAAAAAAATAAAAATTTTTTTAATTTCAGATGATGTGTACATAACTGAAAGGGTGGGTTCATAGAAGGTCAGGGATCATCATTTCCAAGTTTATTTTTCCTATACTGGGGAGAGGGAGGACACCAGGGCAGAAGCCATACACAGACTCCCTACCACCCCAGCACCCAGAATGGGGAAAGATCACCCAATATTGACTCAGGGTCCTGATGTGGAATATTCTCTGAGGGTTCTGCCCAGGTGGTTTTGATAGTTTTGAAATTTTGGCAATTACACCGATCCAAATACGAAGCAACACTCTCATTGTCCATTGGCTGACATAGTCCATCTTAGAGTCTCCATTCGCCCAGGCATTTGCTGTCTTGGTTGGGCTGGGGTAGTTGTCCAATCTGTTCTGCTCTCCTGCTCTGCTATGGTAACAGATGTCTAAAGGCCCCAATGGGCTGCCATATCTTCTGTGTGAATCTGGGCCAGCAATCCACTATCCTGTCTTTTCCATTGAGAAGGACCAGTTCTCGCAGGCGAGCCCAAGACCCAAGCCTGGTGACCTGGACCCCACTGGATTCCCCACCCCAAGGGCTCACATACCCAGCTCCCATCACACAGGTGGGTCCATGGACTTGGGCCAGGTGACCTTGGCCCCACCCAACACCCATCCCAAGGGCTCATGGACCCAGTACCCAATGTGCAGGCAGGCCAAAGGACATGGGCCATGTGACCTAGATGCCCCCGGACCAACCACCCCAGGGGCTCACAGACCTGGCACCCACTCTGTAGGCAGTCCAAGGACCTGGGGTGGGAAACCTGAGTCCTGCTGAACCCCCACACTCCCGGGGTTCACAGATGTGACATTCAACATGCAGGTAGGCCTACGGACTTGTGCCATGCAACCTGGGCCTCCGACCTGGCACCCAGGCAGAAATCCTGCAAGATCCTCTGCCCAAGGGCCTCAAAAACCTAGCATCCACCAAGTGGGCAGGCCCAAGGACTCAGACCATGCTGGACACCCCACCCCTGGGGCTCACAGACACAGTGCCCACCGCGGAGGCAGGCCCAAGGACCTGGGCCAGCTGACCTAGACCCAGACAGACCCCGCTGCCTCAAGGGCTCATTTTCCCTCCCCCACTATCTTCAAACTGGAATGGCTCACCTCACCCTGGCATCCATCAGCATGTGCTGAGGGTGGAGGGCAGAAAAAATTAATCAACTATCCCAGTGAAGCTGGACAGCAAATTCCTGGGATATTGGAGACTCGGAGTGGACTACAACAGCCAATGGACCTTGGAAGGGTTTCCTCATCCTTGGTGTGCAGCATCTCAGAACTACCGAGACCCTGTGACCAGAACCCCAGGGTGACATCAGGTGGCTGCTCCCCATCCCTGGATTCTGAGACAGTTGGAAGGCTGGCCATCATTTCTCCCTTTGTATCCCCGACTCCCCTAGTTACACCAAGAAAAAAGAAAATGTGGAAACATTGGTCTCACCAACTTGCCCTTGATCCTTGCCCTTCCCACCCTGATCAACTATGTAAACGCTGTCAAAATTAAAGTTCAAAAAGACCAAAAAAAGTGCCAGGCAAGGCCCTAGGGCCCTCTCCCCAGACCAGCATCCATAGGCCGAGTCTTTGGGCTCTCCTTAGTTGGGGTTGGGGGAACTCAAAAAATGCCCTGTCCATCCTTCCCCCTGACCCTGCAGCCAGCAAGAGGATAGCTGCTGCCGAGTGAAGAACGGGACAGCGAGCTCAGGCAGGGCCAGCCCCTCTGCAGTGAGACCCAAGGCCTGGTACAGCCAGGGCCTCTGACACCCCAGTCAGCAGCAGACAGAGCCTTGAGCCCTGACTGGCATTGGGCAGAGATCCGCAGCACACCCAGCCCCGGGCAGCAAGCTACTGTAGCTCGTTCATCTCCTTCATTTCTAAACCTAAAGCCAAAGTGGAACCTTGGAAAGCAAAGCAAAACAAAACAAAAAACAGCAGAGCAGAACGGATGAATGGACCAGGGGTTGGATGGAGGGTGAGCCGGCCCTGGCCTGCAGGCTGCTGAGTGGGTCATGAACAGAGCTGTGCCATCTGGTTGAGGCAAGCAGATTCCTGAGAAGGAACACTGACTGATGGCAACACTTGTTGGTATTTAAACAGACTATGGCATAGTGACACTTGTGCAGCCCAATGATGACGTGACCCTGTGCTGCTGGTTCAGCTGGGCTGGACTCCTCACCACGGTGGGGAGAGGATCTGAAGACCATTTACAAGTCAAGTCAGACACTTAAATGGTCTTCCCAACCCATTCCTAGCAACACTGTAAAGCCTAAGGGGCTTCATGAGGCCTCCTAAGCCAGGGTAGGAAGCTGTGGAAGCACGGGTAGGCACGACCTGCATGGCCTGGTATGGACTGCTGGAATGTGGCACACACACCTGCAAGGCCATCTCTTTCTAAGTGGTCCTTCATGTCCCTGTTCCACTTCCTGCTCGAGGCCTCAAAGGCTCTCAGGGAATCCACCAAACTCCATCTGGGGAGGTTAGTCCAGCAGGTGGCTCTGCCCGCCCAGACCCCACGCCCATGCCCATCCCAGCCTGTGACCACACAGCCTTGGCCAGCCCAGCCTTGCTTTCCCCAGCCTTTCACTGGGGAAAAGGACAGGCAGGCAGCGTCAGAGAATATGACAAACACAAACGTACCTGCAGACTGCAGGGCAGAGGGGATACGGGGACGGGGTCACCAGGTCTCATCAGACAAAAGCATGACTTTTCCAGGTGAAGTAGCAGTTGACGGGTGAGGCCAGTGGGTGCAGGGCCAGGGGGAGCGCGGGCAAGAGGAAGAGGATGCTCAGTAAGCACAGAAATCCCTGTGACCATGAGGGAACCCCAAGACGCAACCACTGTGCTATGTGTACCGCCTTCTGAGCATCCAGAGGGCTTCTCAGCTCTCCCCCAACACTGCCTTGAAGCCTGTTGGTATGGGAGACCCTGGACCCCAAGGCAGCTCCTGGCTACCTTTCTGCTGCCACCTATGCATATAGAGCCTCCAAATGGGCTCTGCCTCTGATGATGACCCAGGGACAGGACCGAAGGACAACCTCTTCACACTGTTCCGGGACACAACATCCCCCCAACCCGGTTCATACATACACTGTGGGGACTCTGCACACCTGTGCCCACCCCAGGAAGCACTTGCCATCAGCCCACGAGAAGACCAAGATCCGATCGCATCTGCTCTGTCCCATGTGCCGGGTCCACAGGGAAGTGAGATGTACCCTCCCCTTCCCCTGCTCCACGCCTGAAAGGAAGTCAGCAGCCTCCTACCCCAGCCACACAGGGTGTCCCCTAGATCACAGGGGGCAAAGGGCTAGCCTGCCAAAGGTGAGGTAGAGTGGGATACGGGAGGAACTGGTTTCAGACCACGCCTGCCTTCCCCAGCCCTGGGCAGGGCGCTCACACCTGGGGCATCTATTGGACACAGCACCATCAAGGGACAAGTTCCCTGAAACTTCATTGCTCAGGGCAGCCATTGCCAGATCACAACAAGTGCAGTGCCTATCCCCCGAACCAGCAAAAGGCGGAGCAGAAAGAGGCAGCGAGAGACAATGGCGGCCCTCCCTGCCAGCCAACACCCTGCCCAGGCCTGCATGCCTGCTGCCCCTCAGAGCTCACCTGAGAAAAACAAAGATGCTTCTCTGGGGCCTGGCGTCCGGCTTCTCAGGGGCTCGGTGCTCCAGCTGCAGCCTCAGGAGCTCCAGCAGCTCGGGGTGCAGCTTCTCGGCTTCATCGAAGATGAACAGGGTCTGGCGGCAGCGCTGCTGTGCCTTCTGCATCTGGCCCAGCAGCCAGTCCTGTGTGGGACAAGGGCACCTAGTGGGGACCTAGGTGCACCTCCTGCCCACTCCCAGCCTCACCCAGTCATGGGGAATGCTCAGGAGGTCACGCAGGACTGAGGACCCACCAATCCAGGCCAGTGGATGCGGGGCAAGGACCTGGGCCTCCAACCAGGTCCCCAGATGATTCTCCTGGCCTGCAGTCTCTCCCAGCACAGCTGGCAGCATGGATCAGTTCTCCTCTCTCCCTGACCAGGTCCTGTCTCCTGGGTGCAGCAGTCAGGTTTTACCAGGCAGGAGAGGGGTTCAAGGACCAGAGTCTCCTGGCCAGCACTCCCCAGGACCTGTCTGGGTGGACAAGGAAAGCCTGCCAAGCTTCAATCAAAAAGACCCATCAGCCTGGCCTGGAGCAATGGCTCAACAGGCTAATCCACCTTGCAGTGCCAGATTGCATATGGACACCACTTATAGTCCTGCCAGCTCCACTTCCCATCAGCTCCCTGCTTGTGGCCTGAGAAAGCAGTAGAGGATGGCCCAAAGCCTTGGGACCCTGCACCTGCATGGGAGACCTGGAGAAAGCTCCAGGCTCTTGATTTTTGGACTGACCCAGCTCTGCCTGTTGTAGGCATTTGGGGAATGAAACAATGGATGCAAGGTCTTTCTGGCTCCTCTGTAAATTTGCCTTTGCAATGCAAAGAAATATATCTTTATTATTATTTTTTTTAAGATTTATTTATTATTTAGGGAAAGTCAGATATACAGAGAGGAGGAGAGACAGAGAGGAAGATCTTCCATCCAATGATTCACTCCCCAAGTTAGCGCAATGATGCTATGCCGATCTGAAGCCAGGAGCCAGGAATTTCTTCCGGGTCTCCCACATGGGTGCAGGGTCCCAAGGCTTTGGGCCATCCTCGACTGCTTTCCCAGGTCACAAGCAGGGAGCTGGATGGGAAGTGGGGCTGCCGGGATTAGAACCGGCGCCCATATGGGATCCCGGCACATTCAAGGCGAGGACTTTAGCCACTAGGCCACGCTGCCGGGCCCAGAAATATATCTTTAAAAAACAACCCATCTTTGCCAGCACTCATCAGAACCGTGCAAGGACCTTGAGGACAGCTCCCACCCACAGCTTCATGCCTGATCCATCTCCGGCCTCCCAGGATTGCCTTCAGCCCCAGGTTAGCGTGTGTGTGTGTATGTGTGTATGCATGTGGTTGCACACACACAGGGCAGGACAGTATACACAAGTGTTCCGAGCAGGAAGCTGGCATCCACAGCAGCACTGCCACAGCTGAAGGCACATGGTTCTTCCTGGGAAGGCACAGCTGAGCGGCACCCACTTGCCGGTAGGGCAGCTGGGCCTCAGGACAGCTCACTGTGCTCTAGCCCTACAGGCCATAGAGCTGGCACTACGATGCAGGTTAAGCCTCCTCTGTAGCACCAGCATTCCATACAGATGGCAGTTCGAGACCTGGTTGTTCCACTTCCCATCCAGCTCCCTGCTAATGGCCTGAGAAATCAGCAGAGGATGGCCCAAGGCTTTGGGCCCCTGCACCATGTGGGAGCCCTGGAAGATGACTTTGGCTCCTGGTTTCCATGTGGGGAGAAAGTCAACATATAGAAGTTCTCCTCATCTCACCCTGCCTTTCAAATCAATCAATACTTTGAAAAGAGGACACAGCTTGGGAGTGGAGCGCGATACCTCCATCCTTCCCCTAGACACCCAGAGCCTCCTGTGAGTCGATGGAACAGGTGCACCAGCTCATGCCCCTGCAGAGCATGCCACCATGCAAAGAATGGCTGTTCTCCGAGTCCTGGTCCAGCCTGGACACACATCGTCAAGCTGCCCCATACTGCAGGCCTCACCTGGTACAGATCCACGTACTTGGAGTGCGGGAAGTGGATTGTGGCAATGAACACCCTGACACAGGGGCTCTTCTGTCCATCCCGATAGAGGTTCTCTGCCAATATCCGGGCCACAAAGTTCTTGCCAGTCCCTGACCAGCCGTGGAATGACAGAGCCAGGGCCTTGTCTGGCAGTGGAGTTTCCAAGTAGCCCCGCACCGTTCGCAGGACCAGTTCCCGGGCCAGATGCTGGCCATGCAGTCGCACGCTCAGGTCTGAATCTAAGCCTAGGAAGTGAGGAGGAGAAGGCCACATGAGACAGAGCCACAAGGCCCTTCCCACTCTGTGGCTGCTGGATGAGCATCTGTCTGGACACTTGGAAGAGACTGATGCTCACTCCAGCCGGCCTCAGAACGTGAGGCAGCAGGAAGGGCAATTTTCTGGAGAGTCTGAGACCAACGTGGAGCTCAAGGCGGGTGAGCGGTTCTGTCACTGCTTGAGATGTGCCGCTGTCACAGCACAGGGCTGGCTTTCAGTCCTGGCTCTGTTCCTGCTAGTGTGCATCCGGGAAGCAGTGAGCAGTGTCTCCAGGATGTGGCGGGCTGCCACCACGGGGGAGACCCGGATGGAATTCTGGGTTTCTGGGTTTGGTCTGGTCCAGGGCAGGCTACTGTGGGTGCTTAGAGATGGATGCTCTCTGGGTCCCTCTGCCTTTGATGCAAAAAGGAAGGAAGGAAGGAAGGAAGGGAAAGGAAAGAGTAGAAGGTAGGAAGAAAGGAAACAAACAGAAAAAAAGAGAAAAATAAGGAGAAAGAATGGAGAAAGAAAGAAAGAGGAAGGAAAGGAAGGAAGAAAGAAGAAAAAATGGTGGGAGGAAGGAGAGAAAAAAAAGAAGGCGGGGGAAGAGCTTAAAAGAACTGCTCACAGGAAGTCCTCCAGGTAGGGTGGTCCAGGCTGTTCTGGGGTGGAAACCATCTCTGAGCCTGCCCCAATGTCCCTGGCTCAGGACTCCAGGTCAGTCTGATGGGGAAGCCCCATGGTACGAGCTCTAATTCAGGTTAGCAGACACCTGCTGAGGGCAGCCAGGGTACACACGCAGGCCTTCGGCCAGGCCTCGCTTCATCTAAGCATGAGGCAAGAATCTGGAGATGGGGCTATGCTGCCTGCTGGGAGGGTGCAGAACTATGCCCAGCTCAGGATCCCTGGTCAAACACCCAGAGCCAGCCTGGAGGGAGTACCCGGGGCCTCACAGGTCAAAGTGTTACGAACATGCCAGGTGCTGCACAGGGCTCCCAAAAGGGCCCTGCTGGTGCTGTGTTCTCACAACTATGTCAAGTGTCTTCTTCTTTTAAGAGGTATCTATTGGGCCCAGCGCGGTGGCGCAAGTGGTTAAGTCCTCACCTTGCACGCCCGGGATCCCATATGGGCGCCGGTTCTATCCCGGCAGCCCCGCTTCCCATCCAGCTCCATGCCTGTGGCCCGGGAAAGCAGTCGAGGACGGCCCAAAGCTTTGGGAACCTGCACCCGCACGGGAGACCCGAAAGAGGCTCCTGGCTTCGGATCGGCATAGTATCGGCCGTTGCAGCTCACTTGGGGAGTGAATCATCGGACGGAAGATCTTCCTCTCTGTCTCTCCTCTCTGTATATTCGCCTTTCCAATAATAAAAATAAATCTTTAAAAAAAAAAAGAGGTATCTATTGTTATTGCAACAGCAGATTTGCAGAGGGAAGGAGAATCGGAAAGATCTCCCATCCACTCCCTAAATGGCTGCCCAAGCCGAGCCGATCCAAAGCCAGGAGTTAGGAGCTTCTTGCAGGTCTCCAACATGGACACAGGGTCCTATGGACTTGTACCATCACCTCTTGCTTTCCTGGATTGGGACACAAAACCCACCTGGGATCCCCGGTGCTTGCAGGCAGAGGACTAGCCTGTTGAGCTATGGCAATGATTTTTCTATGTGACTTTCTTAATCACTGCACAGGGCAAACTGAGGTAAGCGGCCCATGGAGAGGACTGCCCCGAGGCTGGCAGCTGGCAAAGGCCAGATGAGGAGCCCAGCAGTACAACAACTTGCACATCCAAGCACTAGAAAAACACTGGGCACGCGGAGGGCAGGGGCCACCTGCTGACTGCCCACACATTGTTCTGAATTGGCAGAGACTCTAATTCAGGCCTCCAGACCTGATCTGTCCTGTGGCCTGATACGCTGAGCCCCACTGTGGCCCTCAATACTCTGTGTCACTGGGCACATCTGTCATTGGCACATAGTGACCTGTTCTTAAGGTGGGCTTCCTTTGGCCAAGACCCCCCCAACAAAGCTGGCAGGGCTAAGGGCATCCCTGAGTCTGGCGGCTAAGACTCCTGCAGCCCACAGCACGCTAGCCCGCCGTAGTACTTGTCCTGGTTCCTGATTCCAGTTCCCTTGCCAAAGCAGCCCCAGGCAGATGGAGGAGACTGGCTAAATTCCTAGGTTGCTGCCACATACATGGGAGACCTGGGCTGAGAACTCAGCTTCTGGCTCTGGGGCCACTGTGGGCATCTGGAGAGTGAACTAGCAGTGTCTTTCTCTCTCCCAGGGCCTGGCTCCGAGGTCTAGTGGCTAGATCCTCAACTTTGCACATGCCAGGATCCCGCATGGGTACTGGTTCATGTCCGGGCTGACCCACTTCCCATCCAGCTTCCTGCCTGTGACCTGGGAAAGCAGTAGAGGAAGATCCAAAGCCTTAGCACCTGGCACCCATGTAGGAGACCTGGAAGAAGCTCCTAGCTCCTGGCTCTGAATCAGCTCAACTCTGGCCACTGTGGCCACTTAGGGAGTGAATCAGCAGACGGGTCATCTTCTATTCTGTCCTTCTCTCTGTATATCCATAAATATAAATAAAGCTGAAAAAAAAATCCCACTCTAGGGGTGAGACTGCTTCTTGTAAAAGAGGAAGTGTTCTTTCTGCTGGAGACTGACCCAATGGTTGTTAATCGGAGGTGCAGTACTTGGGGCTATACATAACCCTCTGAAAGTCAGAATGCCAATTGACTGCCCAGTGCCAATCAAACTGCCTGTATCCAAATAAACAGAGCAAAACCAAACCTGGGGACGGGGCAGGTACCTGGTGCTGTGCTGAGCTGTGGTTACACCTGCCACTGGGGAGCCTGGGTGGGAATCCTGGTTCAGCTTCCTGCTGATGCCCAGGTTGGGAAACAGCAGGCGGATCCCTAAGCATTAGGTGGGAGACTTGGACTCAAAAGGTGTTAGTCTCCCAGCAGGAGGCCACAGGCAGGAGGTGGTGCCTGGGTCCAGGCAGGGGGTGGGAGGGTGACAAGCAGGGGCCATTTCCCCTCCTCCTTCTTCCCCCTTCAGCACCCCCACTGGATGGGGAGTGCTCATGGCATTCCAGGGCAGGGAAGCCCCGATGCAGGGGCCAAGCTCTCGTTGGCCTGAGCCATTTAATGAAAGGCAACCATGGGGGCTTCCGGACCCTGGCCCCTGATGGACAGGTTTTTGTAGATCTTCCTAAATCAGGACGCAGTGGCCTTGGGAGAGAAGTCAAAATCTGACTGGTGTCACGTGGTTGCCTTGGGGGGAGCCTGATACTTCCGGAAAACCCAAGAATTGAGCGTCTTGTGGGATTACAGCTGACCTGGGTCTTGGGGTGGTGATTGCTGCTAGGGGTGGGGGCGCCCGGGCACCCTCCATTTCCCGGTCTCCCGTGCTGCTCCTCAAGGCCATAGGGGAGGAGGTCCGAACCTGTGAAGTTGTTGGAGATCCTGCAGTCGTCAGAGTCGCAGCAGTCCTGGAAGCGGCAGTACCACGCAGCTAGCTTATCCACATACTGCTGGCCCAACACGGGCAGGCTCCAGCCTGAAATGGAGGGTGGAGGAAGTACCGGTGAGGAGATCCGACCCAGGACAGCCCTGCCATTCCCATTTTTCCTGGCCAGGCAGGATCCTGAGCTCAACTCCCCAGGCTCAGCAGGTGTTCACACGCGGCTTCCGGAAGGGAGCTGCCGGGTGGGGGAGAGCGCCAGGAGAGCCCCCAGCCTCAGAGCCGTCCAAGAGGAAAATGGCCAGCACCTCAAACCCCTGGCCTCCATGGCGGGGCTTGGGTGCATCTGGAGTGGGGCCGCTGCGGAGGGGGCCATGCAGGGTTCAGGGGCGTTCCAACGGGCTTGACCTCCCGGCTAGCGCGCATGTCCGGCGGAGAACGGGGAGATGTCCAGCGGCAGGCGGCTGCGGGACTGGATCTTACCTAGGGGTGTCGCGGCCACCTCATCCTCCTCGCACTCCCCGGGCCACACCCGGCAGCTGAAAAGCGCCCAGTACCGCCTGGAGAGGGCCCCGGCCGTCCTGAGCTGCTGCTGCAGGTGCTGCAAGCCTGGCCACAGCGATGCCCAGCCTGGCTCCTCTGCGCCCTCACCCAGCCTCGCGGCACCGGGGCCGTCTGGAGCGCACGGGTGCAGCAGCAGCAACAAGAGGAGAAGGCAAAGGCAGAGCGGGCGCCACGGGCCGCGAGGCATGGCCGGGCCCGGGAGGGGAGCGCCGGCGTCCCAGGCCCGGACGCCCGGCGTGCGGGGCGGGCCCTTCCCAGGCAGGCGCGGGCGGGGATTGGCGAGCTCTAGGCGACCGGCGCACCAGCTGGTTTTCGGGCCAGCCCCCAGACCCGCCTACGGGAAGTGGGCTATTCCTGGCCTGTGATGCTGGTTGCGGACGGACGCAGACTAGATGAGCTCGGGCCTTGAAATTGTCCCTGCCAATCACCGTGCTATCACCCCCTCTGAGGTATGTCAGATATGGACACCACTCATCCCACGCCTGGGAGGAAGCTGGGAAAGGCCTCCCACTGGGCCAGGAGGTGTGTGTTGGGGGATGAGAGGGCGCAGAGAACCGGGAGCTGCTGGATAGAGAAGAGGGTGCTGCAGGGAGCTTGCCTGGGTTTGGCCTGGGGCTCCCCGGCAGAGGGAAGCGAAACAGCAGCACACAGCTCTGGGTCCTCCTTACTAGTGGAAGCACCCGAGCACCGGGCTGGCGGTTTTCGGGTTTTGGAAACCCCCAGCGTCGCGGAGGAAATCATAAGGTTTCCTTCCAGTGCCACTGCATCTTGTGAAAGAGAAGTTTGCACTCTATGCACTTTGTTAACCGGGTTTACAGTTCTCCCATGCTTGGGACTGGGCAGCCCATCAGAAGCCATTGGCAAAGGACTTGAGGGCTGTCTTCCCAGGCCTTATTACTTTAAAAGAGAGAGAGAGAAAATTGAAAGAGAGTGACCAGGAGAGGGAGATGGTCCATCCACTGATTCACTTCTGAAATGGCCAGGGCTGAGCCAGCACAGAATGGAGTTAAGTACATGACCTAGGACCTAAAGACCTGGGCCATCCTCCACTGTTTTCCCAGGCACATTAGCAGGGAGCTGGATGGGAAGCAGAGCAGCGGGGACTCAAACCAGTGCTCCAGTGTGCCTCGTGGTCCCTAACATATGGAGTATGGAACAGAAGCTGCCAGATTCCAGAAGAGTTTAACACACTCTCAAGAAAACCAGTTCCCAAAGTCAGGTGCTTAAGAGCCTCCTTGACCTAGGAGGAGACAGCTGTGTGCAGAGATCAAGGCAGCTACCTAATGACACCTGTGTAGCGGCTTTAAGGATGGGCACGCCGGACAGTGCTGGGCCTCAGCCAAGGTCACAGGCAGAGAGCCACAGCTGTGGGTAACTGAGCCCTACTCCTTTGATGTGGATTCACTGCCTCCCGCCCCATCTCTCAGCTTGTGATTCCAGAGAGTTGCACATTTGTCCCTACTGCTAACAGAGCTACCATCTCCGTGCTGACTCTGAGCTCCCTTGTCCTCCGTCCTATGAATCCGTTCATCACCCCTCCGGCTATTCTCCTGGGCTTTTTTTCTTCTCCCAGGACTTTCAGGGTCAGTCACACAGGAGGGGATCACACACACGCTGATGCCCCCCCCCCAAAGAACTCACTGCCTTTCCTCTCCTGGACTGTCTGAGAACTAAGGGACAGCCACCCAGCTCCTTGCTCTGGCATTTGCAATGCCAGCTGTTCTCTGCCGGCCTGTGATTGATGGGCCTGCTGCGTACTTAGCTAGCAACCCTGCCAACTGATGAGTGGGCAACTGATGAGCTGCCAGGAGCTGAGGACTGCCAACACCCATGCCTCACCAGCTCAAGTCCTTGTTAGCGCCCAGGCTGATGGAATATGCCAGTGCACCACTTGTTCCTCGCCATGCAGCTAAGCCCCACTCTACAACCACCTTCCCGGAGACCACCACCCTAAACCCTGCCTCCTTTTAAGGGTCAGTCGGGTCCTACTGCAAGCACCAACCTTACCTTGTAAAAAGGAGGACCCCATGGGGTCCGCCAGCAGCAGCATCCTATATGGGCACTGATTTAGTCCTGGCTGTTCTGCTTCTGATGTAGCTCCCTGCTATTGCACCTGGGAAAGCAGCAGAAGATGGTCCAAGTATTTGGGCTCCCACATTCACGTGGAAAACCCAGAAAAGGCTCCTGGCCCTTTGGAGCAGGCCAGCTTCAGCCGTTGTGGCCATTTGGGGAATAACCCAGCAGATGGCTCTCTCTGACCCCCCTCATTCTGTAGCACTGCTTTTAAAATAAAAATAAGTGCATTTAAACACACACAGAGGACCCCTGCTTGGGTGGGGACTGTGTCCTCCCATGAGGCTGTTGTTACAGGGTGCGAGCCAGAACACACCAGACACGTCTAAGGTTCATTAAGGAGTCTTTATTAACCAAGCTTGCTGATAATAGAACACACTAGAAATAGCAAATCACAAGCCCATACGGCAATCCAACCAGTCATAATCCAACCAAACATAATCCCCAAAGGAACAAATGGTCATTACCCTGAAGTCCACCCGTTAACCTGAAGACCTATGTCCCAGCTTCCCCAACAATATAAGTTATCCTAAGAGACATGCAATGAATAACCTGGACACACTTACAAAGCTGCAGACATTCACCTTTCCCTGGCTTCTCTGCCCACATTCCACTACTGCTAGGCCTCACCTCTCCTACAACTTGTGACAGCACACAAACCAGAAATGACATTGTTATATCCATTGCCCCATCTAAGCAGTACGCAGGGACCATGCTCAGGGGATTACCTGTCTTGAGTCAGCCAAGAGTCGAGGTGCCAGAGCAGCAGAAGCACCTGACCAGAGAGCGAGCCCCCTGCTTCCTGGGCCTTTTAAAGGGGCTTGTGAGGGGAGTGCTTACAACAATGCAATGCTGCTCCCTCTCAGATGACAGGTATTCGCTCCTGCCCACCTGGGACTCACCTAAGTGTTGTGAGCTAAGGAGTTGATTGGTGCTCGTTGGGATGGGCGGGAACAGGAACTGGGCTTGTAGCTAAAAATACCCAGACTAATTGGACTCATCTGTATCCAATATCCTGGCTAAATCAGAACGTGAAGGGAAGAGTATACAAGGAGAAGTGAAGGAGCAATAAAGGGAGACTTCGCAGAGACTTCCACCATCACTGGCTACACTCCATAACACTCTTTGCATTCAAGTCTGTGTATGCTGCCCTGGCCTTCTAGTAAATCTTGCTTTTCTGCTCACCTTTAGCTAAGTTTCCAAGTGTATTCCTACACACAGGAAGGATAGAACTTGGACCAAGTCCAGCCAGCTGTCTCCCCGAGCCCAACCCGGGCTCCCAATCCTTACAACACAATTCAGGGATCCAGGTCTCCACCGCACCTTGGGATTCCATGACATGTTCACCGCTGTCTCCTGCAGGAGCACTTAGGCAGGGTCAGGCATGCTCCAGGAGTCGGTGGCCCTCCCTGCTCTCCCTCATTCCGGGAGAGCACCAAACCCGGGCAAGCCACACCCCTCCTGTGCTCCGGGAGCACTCACCAGCAGCTAGCCATGCCCTTTCAACATCAGCTCTTCCAGGCTCGTGGACCAGACCCAGCCACATCAGCAGCAGCCCCTCATGCCATGTTAGGGCTGCCGCTCTGTGTGACGTAGATAGCAGGCAGCTGGATTACTGGTTAAAGACCAGGATGCGGTTTCCACAGCGCACATGCAGCTCAGGGATACCCAGTAACTCAGAGGCCTCTGCACTTACCTTGTTGCTTGTCTGAGCGAAGGAGGTCCTCTCACCGTGCACCTTGGGCTCCTTCGTTCTACACTGCAAGAAGCCCAGGACCAGGTGGCACTCTCCTGCGGGTACAGTGCCATGTCCACCCCGTCAACAGTAGGTCACCAAATATGCAATCGTCACCCACTCAAACACAGAAGCACCACCACCACCTTTGGCAGGACGGCCTGAGTTGAGGTGAATGTTACTTTGTACTGAGAGTCTTAGCTACTCAGTGAAGTCAAAATTGAACCCAGGAATGGGAGTTTGCTTAGCAGCTGAAGATGCTTAAGTGCCTCAGTGGAATACCTGGGTTTATTTCCCAGGAAGGAAAGTCTTCTCATACGGATTCTGTTAACATGAAATGAGCTGATTCATTGCATTGTGAACACATGTTTTGATATTTTGTTTTGTATGCTGGGGGAGGCTTGGATGTCTCCTATCTATTCTGGTAATAAAATGACCAACAGTGAGCCAGGCCGAGGGTCAGCTGTGGACATTGAGGGACCTGCGCTGTGGAATTTGTAGCCTGGGCAAGACTGAGATTGGAGAAGGCCCAGAAGAAACTGATGCAGCATTCCAGTTCCCCGGATTAGGAACCACTGCAACGAACTTGCACGCAGGACTGCTGTGGAGACTGTCTTGGTGGCCAGTACCTCAGGTTAAGGTCTGTGAGTGTGCAGTGGACTCCAGCATGCTGTACTCCATCCAGTAAGTTCCTGCGCCTGAAGGCACACGTGATAATTCAATTCCAGAGCTTGAAACAAATGAACGAATGTGATAAGTCCTTTTAAAATGTAAAATCATGGACCTTTTGTGGTAGCCTAGCCACTAAAGCTCTAAGTCCTCACCTTGAACACGCCAGGATGCCACCTGGGTGCAGGTTCTAATCCCAGTGGCCCTCCCATCCAGCTCCCTGCCTGTGGTCTGGGAAAGCAGCCCAGGATGACCCAAAACTCTGGGACCCTGCACCCACGAGGGAGACTCAGAAGAAGCTCCAGGCTCCTGGCTTCGGATCGGTTCAGCTCTGGCGGTTGCTTGGAGAGTGAACCATTGGACAGATCTTCCTCTCCATCTCTTCTCTCTCCCTGTACAGCTGCCTTTGGAAGCTGTTGGGGTTCATCAGGAGCAAGAGCCTCTTGGTTCGTGGTGACATCTAGGGGCAGATGTGAAAACTGCAGGCAGCTAAGATTCTTTAGCAAGCGTGGTCAAACTATCAGCAGTTTGCTATATCCCAAGAATGTGCCAGAAATGCAAAACCCTGGGTCTACTGAGGCACACTGAGTGAACACCTACGTGATAAGGCCTTCCTGAGGGAGGCTGGCCACACGGTACCCTTACTGAGGCAAACGACGGGAACCTAGCTTTGTCAAACACATCTTCCAACCCCACTGAAGGCAGTCTGGGGGGAGTCATGGGAGCAATCATTAGGAAGAACCCCCAATTATTAAATGAACAAACCAATCTTGGTTGTAAACACAAGCTTGGAGATGCAGCGTATGTTTCACAGTTCCTATGTACACCAGACGTTCCCCTAGCACCCATTTTATTGGAAAGGCGGATACACAAAGAGGAGAGACAGGAAAATCTTCTGTCCAATGGTTCACTCCCCAAGTGGCCGCAACGGCTGGAGCTGAGCCAATCCGAAGCAAGGAGCCAGGAACTTCCTCCGGGTCTCCCACGTGGGTGCAGGGTCCCAAGGCTCTGGGCCGTCTTTGCTTTCCCAGGCCACAAGCAGGGAGCTGGATGGGAAGTGGGGCCGCCGGGATTAGAACTGGCGCCCATATGGGATCTTGGTACGTTCAAGGCGAGGACTTAAACCGTTACACTATTGCACTGGGCCCTTATATCTAATAAATCTTGCTTTGCTTATTTAATTGTCCACATAAAAATCCTTTTGTCTAAGAATTGAGGTTGCCTTAGTTTTTTTTTCATGTGAACTCCCCCATAGCAGCAGGCCTTGGTTGTAAAGACAAGACTTAGGGTCCACGAAGCGGAGCTGTGCATCTCTGCAGGTGGGGGTTCTACGTGCAACCAAGCCTGGTCACCCTGCCCCGACCCCCACTGGCTCTTTCCAGCTCCTCAGTGCCACTGTGACTCAGTTACACTATTGCCACAACACCTGGTGCCTCTCCACCAGTTCTCCTGCAAGCTCCCTACTGCCAGCTGCTTGCTTTCTTTTTAAGATTTTTAACTGAAAGAAAGGCAGATTTACAGAGAGAGGAGACACAGAGATCTTCCACCCACTGGTTCACTCCCCAAATGGTCGCAACAACCAGAGCTGAGGCGATCCAAAGCCAGGAGCCAGGAGCTTTTTCTAAGTTTCCCACATGGGTGCAGGTGCCCAAGGACTTGATCCATCCTCCACCGTTTTCCCAGGCCATAAGTAGGGAGCTGGATTGGTAGTGGAGCAGCTGGGACACAAACCAGCCCCTCTATGGAATGGAGGGTTAGCCTGACATACTGCTGTGACCGACCCTGCTTCCTTCTCCAATATACCCGAGAAGTAAGTGATTCTGACATCTAGCCTAGAAAAGATTTCTATATGGTGAGTCTAACAGTGACGTAGACTGGCTTTAGCTTTCCATATGCATTCAAGTACAGGACAGAAACTGGTATGCTGCCACTCAGGTAAAAAACAAAAATCTAAAGAACTCTGCTCAGTTTCCCAGTTGAGGCTCCCGTTCCAAAGCTGAGGCATCTGGAGCTGGTGTGCGCGTCTACCCAGCAGTTACTCCCTGCAATGCCAGTGCCCATATGGGACCTGGTCCTGGCCGCTCCACTTCTGACCCAGCCCCATCCTTACCTGGGAAAGTAGCAGAAGGTGGTCCACATTCTTGGGCCCTGGCAACCCACGGGCAGACCCAGAGGACCTGGCTCCTGGTTTTGATCCTGGCTCAGCCCTCGTCACTGTGGCCACCTGGGGAATGAAACAGCAGATGGAACATCTTCTAGCTCTTTCAAAGAATCTTAAAAGAAAACCTAAAAATCTGGGTGTTTGAAGAACTGTTGCCAGGGTAACCAGCCTTCTCTCTCTGCCTCAACAGTAGTATGCTGACAAGTTTGCCTGGACTCACAACGTTTCCCTTCAAAGAAGCTGCAAGAAGGAGCTAGCATTGCAGTGTCGCAGGTTATCGCAACAAAGGTGTCTCACGTGCAAGTGCTTGTTCAAGTCCTGGCTGCTCTGCTTCCGGCGCAGTTCCGTGCCAATGCGCCTGGGAGGCTGGGAGGCTGGCCACGTACTTCAGTCCTTGTCACCTATGTGGGAGACCCGGATGGAGTTCCAAGCTTCTGGCTTTGGCCTGGCCTAACCCCACCCCCCATGACAGCTGGTTGGGGAGTGAGCCAGCAGATGGAAATCTCTGTCACCAGGCCTTTTACATAAATAAATCCTTTTTCAAAACTGAATAATAAAAAGGCCACTGCTGTTAGGAATGGAGTTAAGTGCTAACTACAAAAAGAGCACCTGTGAGCAATGCTGTGGGAAATGTTGGTAGTTAAACCTGGGAGACCCAGAAGTCTCATCCTTTGCATAGCTGAGTACAGAACGTCCCCTTCCGTGCCATGAGCACAGCAGGAAACGCAGCAGAAACACTGAAAAGCAGGCAGAGGGGGAGGAAGAGAGACAGCAGTATTTATGAAAATCTTTATTTTTTTTGTCAGATTTGAAATCCATAGAACACATTAGAAACGGGTACGTATCTGTCTTGTTTGGTGTTTCACCAAGGACAACCTCTATTTGTGCAAGTGCTCCGAGAGGAAATCCTTGGCAGATCAAACCAGAGGGTCGTGCTTCCTCCACTTCCCGTCTAAGCCGATAAGTTACTCCAGTCTCCCCTACATTCTGTGTGATCACCTTAGGGTCCTGTGGCTGCCCAGTCTCCATCCCCTACCTCTCCACTGACTCAAGAGACGGGAGGTGGAAGACGCGGCCCTACCTGGCGAGCAGTCCCACAGGGTCAGGGTCGGGTATGGGGCCGGGGTCAGGGCCAGCGTGCGCAGGATGCGTGGTTGTTACACCACTTAGGGTCCACGCTCAGAGATGGAAACTCCAGCTTTTAGATCTTCAGCAACAGAAGTCATTGATTCCCTGTGTCAAAATAAATATGTTTTTCTTTCTCAAATACATGTCTGACTATATACATACATATCCCTCGCATCTAACTGTGACAAGGCGCAAGCACAGAGCTGTCCCGCGGGGGCACCGACAGCTGCAGGGAGCCCAAGGCCTGTTCCAGAGGACAGTGCTGCCTGGGGTGACACTGAAATAATGCACAAATAATAATGCACAAAGGGTGTACCTGAATTTCCTTCTTCAACCTCCTTTGATAGGTCAGCCCTGAGTGCCAGCGGGGAGCGGTGCCTTACCAACTCATCACCCAGCAAGATTCCATCAGCATATGCAGTAAACCACTTACACCCCTCTGGAACCCACAGTGCAGCCTTGTGGGAACAGTTACGGAATGAAAGCTCTTAGCAAACTTTTCCTCGTGCCAACCCCAGAGCAGACCCCAGACAGCCCACTGACGTGGCTGACGTGACCAGAATACGCCTAGGTGGTGAGAAGCCATGACTGAGGACGGGTCACAAGCCATTGTAAGGCCTCTCCTCAAACAGGACTCCAGCCGTGCTGTGAGCTCTTGTGGCTATCAGCTTTTCTGGTTTTTGTTTGATTTCCCCCCAGGAGTCACTTACTTGGAGTTTTCCAGCTCTTTTCAAAGCAGCTTTCTCATCTTTTTTTTTTTTTTTTTAATGCTGAGCAGAACCTGCTGTTTTCAAGGTTAGAATCAAGTTCTCAGTCTGAGAACAGCTTTTAATTCATTTCAGTGTGGCATACTGAAGGCGCCATGTGTCTGAAACAACACTAAGACCTACTGCAGCTCAGCTAACATTGGCTGAGGGCAGAGCTGGCACGCTCCCCCGTTCCCCGCCAGCTGGCTCCCGGCCCGTCTGCAGGAAGTGCTGCCCCAAGGGATTCTGAAACTAAATGGGGAATTGCTCTGGCCACACCCAAGTAGCCTGCAAAGTAGAATGGATGCCTCCTCTTGTCGACTCAATTTGTTTTTTTTTTTTTTGTGCTAATGGATTAATAATAACTATCTTCTCAGATCTAACACCCTTTTTAAAACTCAGCCCATCCATCTCAGAATATAAAAAATACAGAAGTTTCTTAATTTCATGCTATTTAAAGTAGTTACAGGTTTCAAAGTGGAAAAAATTGGGCCTAAAATTTTAATGCTATTTGAAATGGTGGCTGCCTAAAACTGCCCTCCCACGGCTGGCATTCCACGTTTGGCCATACTGGTTCAGTGGGACACACACCTCTCAGCAGAGGCCCGAGGGTGCACACGGGCCAGGGGCCACATCGGGCTGGCCTGGCCCTGCACTTAACTATAGTAGTCAACACTACATGTGTTAGCAAATCTGAGAGCGCCAAGATGGAAAAATACAAGCACATCTTGAGTTCAGAACTCCAAATGAGACTCTACGCAGAGTTAGAATCCCTCAGCGACCCAATCTTAAGGCTCCACTCTGCTAGCCTTCCTAACTGCAGAGGTTCCAGCAGGCAGGGCTCGAGTCGCAGGGCTAAGTCTGGCCACCAGCAGGGGGACCCGATCATCTCTCAAGAAGGGCCCAAAGAGAAACAGGGCTGCCAGTCTCGTGGGAACAGCTGGAATGAGCAAGTGCCTTCTAGGCATACGCGGAAGTTCACTTCAGAAGAGACCAGGCTGGCAGGTCGGAGGCGAGCGGACGCACCGTCCAGGCATCTCCGTCTGCCCTGCCAAAGCGGGACAGACCTGCCTGTGCAGGCAGCAAGGAAAACAAGTTCGTTCCTACAGCAGAATCGTGCTGGGTTCTAACAATATTTTCTTGGTGTTTTTTTTTTGTTTTTTTTTTTTTTTTTTCATTTTTGGTGATTTTGGACTCAGCTGTGAAAGTAACCTGTACTCAGGCGCAAAGTCACATTTTGGTGTTCACACACCTTTAAGATCCTAAACACGGAGAGTCCTCTAAACGCTCCTTAGAGCATTTCCCTGGTTTCAGTTCTATCAAGTGAATCTCTCTCCTCTGCCCCTTCCTAAGTCATAAAAAATAAAAACAAACAAAGAAAAAAACCCCACACTGTTTAATCACAAAAAGCCTGACCATCTTTCTGCTGTTTCCTTTATCTTGCGTGTACTTCCTTCCACAGCGTGTGCTGCTGTGGCTTGATAGAGCAAGGCTTTATTTGCCACCACTCTGTAGGAGCAGTAAGCTTTCCAGTTTGACCAGACATAGCTAAAAAAAAAAAAAAGTAATAATAAAAAGACACAAGAGATTGCAATGTGTATCCATAAAATCCACAAGTGTGGAGGAAAGAACTGCAAAGTTCAATGCCAAGCCCAACTTCCAGTCCCATACCCAGTCCCCTACCCTCTGGCATGGAATTACTGGCCACTCGCTGGCCCCTGCTGGGCGGGCCCGGGCGGGGCCGAGGAAGTCAGAAGGGGATTCTGCAAGCTCTCCACGCTGGCACCTGTGGCTCTGCCTCAGCTTGGACTGCAGAAACACCAAAGACAGATGCCCACGGCCACCCTGTCCCCTGTCACAGAACTTGCTGCAGGCCACGTGGCAATCCGTCTCATCCCATTTGGAACTGATTGTGCTGTGTCTCTATCTTTGTAAAAAGAAGTGTCGCGGTTTGGGGCTGGGCATCACAAGTGGGAGAGAGGCATCCTGTCTTCCACCAGCACAGTGTCCAGCCCGAACTGGTCAGTGCACTGCTTCACGGTGCCCAGGACGCTGAGCAGCCGCTGTTCCAGGGCGTCCAGGTGGCGATCGGCCAGCACGGGCGCGATGGGGTCGTGGGCCATGGCGGATTTTAAGGCAGACTTTAGCACACCGTTCTTTAAGTAGTTCAGTCTGTTCCAGGTGGAAACGCGAATGCTGGAAGAGAAAGTTTCAGGACACGTTACACAGGCTCCCCCAGACGGTGTTTAAAGCCAGTATGGCAGACGCAAGTAAAAAAACACAACCCAGACGGCAACAAATCACAAAACATTTTAAGTAAGAAATATTTTGCTTTTAAAATATTTGTTTTCTAAAATATAAAATTTTGTTTTTAAAATGTCCATTATGAGTAAACCGCATTACTGCTATTTGATATTAGGGGAGTTACAATTAATTAGAGATATATACAAACATTTACGTATGTTCACTGCAGCGTTAGTTGAATAGAAAAATGTAAAACAATATGAATGTGCAACAATTGAAAAGTATTAAGCAAATTATAGCTCATTCATTCAAAAGAATACCACAAAGCCATTGATAAGTTTTAGAGCGTGGACGTTGTGCAGCACAGTGGGTTAAGCTGAACTCTACATCACAGAGTCTGGGCTGGACTCTACACCTCTTTTTTTTTTTTTAAGATTTATTTTTATTGGAAAATCAGACATACAGAGAGGAGGAGAGACAGAGAGGAAGATCTTCCATCTGCTGATTCACTCCCCAAGTCGCTACAATGACCGGAGTTGATCCAATCTGATCCAAAGCCAGGAGCCAGGAACCTCTTCTGGGTCTGGGACACAAACCGGTGCCCACATGAGATCCTGGCAACGCAAGGCACCAATGTAGGCACTGAGCCAGGCCCACAACATTTCGAGGAGCAGGCATTGGGCCACCTGCACTCATAGGGTGCTGGCCTTGATCCCTGGCTCTGCTGCCTGACCCCAGAGGCCTGCCCAAGTAGATCCTGGGAGGTGGCAGGTAATGGCCAGATAGCCAGGCTCCCGCCATCCATGGAGGCCAGGCCTGTGTTCCCGATTCTTGGCTTTAGCCATGCTCTAGCCCTAGCTACTGAGAGCAAGCACTGCCCCTTTCTCCTTCTCAAATTAAAACAAAACAAAAAGCACTTAAAATTTAGGGGTGGGCCCGGCACAGCGGCCTAGAGGCTAATGTCCTTAAAGTTCTTGCCTTGAAAGCCCCGGGACCCCATGTGGGTGCCAGTTCTAATCCCAACAGACCCGATTCCCACCCAACTCCCCGCTTGTGGCCTGGGAAAGCAGTTGAGGATGGCCCAAAGCCTTGGACCCTGCACCTGCATGGGAGACCTGGAAGAGCTCCTGGCTCCTGGCTTTGGATTGGTGCAGCTCCGGCTATTGCGGTCACTTGGGGAATGAATCATCGGATGGAAGCTACTTCTCTCTCTGTCTCTCCTCCTCTCTGTATATATCTGACTTTGCAATAAAAATAATAAATCTTTAAAAAAAATTTAGGGGCATAGGAAAATGTCTATGTTGTAATGACGAATATAGGGAAAATGCTGGAAGCAAAACTGTTCTACTCAAAATCTGCAGGAAACAGCTGTGCACACACAAATAATATGAAGTAAACCACATGTCATCAGGAATTTTCTTTAGATGTTAATGGGTAGTTTAAATTCCCTTCAAATGTTTTTGAATTTTCACATAATTTCTTGGGTTAATTTTAGTACTAGAAATAGAAATGTTTTGTTTATCCACTTATTTTACAATTTCATTGATTTATTTGAAAGGCAGAGAGAGAATGTGCCTCTGTGCAGTTGCGGCCAAGTGGCAGAGTGGGTCACAGGGACGAGCGGGTGCTCTGGGGGAATCCTGGGATCACGCTGTCGGCATTTGCTGAGGCCTTCTTACTGCATGAATGCCAGGCAGATATCAGAGGGCAACAGGGGCCAGAACCTGCCGCCCCTCCCCTACCAGCACTCATTCCAGCGGTGAGAGCAGAGGTGCCCAGGGCCTAACCACCTCCTCAAGCTCCCCCCGCTTCATACTTCGGTAGTGGCAGTCACATTTCAGCATCCATGTAACAAAGATTTAAACCACAGCAGTTGACAATCTACCTAAGAAAAGGGAAAAGGATCCTTAAAATATAAATTTTGGGACCAGCTCTGTGGCACAAGTGGGTCAACCACCCTGCAGCACTGGCATTCCATATGGGCCCAGGTTCAAGTTCTATCTGCTCCACTTCTCATCCAGATCCCTGCCAGTGCACTGGGAAAGTAGTAGAAGGCAGCTGAAGTGCTTTGGCGCTGCACCCCCATGGGAGACCCGAATGGAGTTCCTGGCTCCTGGCTTCATCCTGGTCCAATCTCAGCCCTGCTGCCATTTGGGGAGTAAGCCAGCAGATAGAGTGCGTCCACTGGTTCACACCCCAAGTGGCCACAATGGCAGAAGCTGAGCTGATCTGAAGCTCAGGGTCCCAGATTTTGGACCATCCTTGACTGCTTTCCCAGGCCACAAGCAGGGAGCTGGGAGGGAAGTGGAGCAGCCAGGATATGAATCAGCACCTCTATGGGATCTTGGTGCACACAACCTGAGGGCTTTAGCAGACCTATAGCTCTTTTTTATCTCATTGCCTTGATTTTCAATTTCTTGGTTTCTCTAATACACACTTTAAAAAAATCAACTATTACACTTTGGGGAACAAGTTACTTTTGATTTACACAATTTCAAAACAAGATATGCAAGTCTCAGGTAACATGTGATAGGCGAGAGGACCTGAAACCGCAGGGAAACTGGATGCTGCAGCCAAGGACACAGATGTTACCGGCATTCTTTTTTTTTGGGGGGGGGGAGGGGGCGGGAGGAGGGAAGGGCTGGAGGACAGAAGACATTCAATCAAATATGGATATGTATGACTGATCATGAATTCTGAACTCTGGGTTACTTGCCTCCGCACCTCGTGAGCCCCAAGGGTCTTGGGTTGGAAAGAGGCAGAGAGCACAGCTCACATGTCAGGAAGTCCTGAGGCCAAGGGAAGGAGCCTCCGGTCCCTGAGCCCGAAAGGCAGGCGAGGCAGGCAAAGGATTTTCCGGGCAGAACTTACATGCAGCACTGATAGAGAGGGGCGAGAATGCTTCTCTCATCCAGCGAGGGGTTCCCGAAGCTGCAAAGGGAAGCAGGACCTGTTCATCCAAGGCAGTCACCAGGCCCCTCATCAGCACCAAGGCAACAACAAATCCTCTGAGACCCAAAAGGGATCCGAGGTAATTTCACACTCCAGGAGCTCAAAAATCTTAAACTGAAAAGCCCAATTCGATACAGGATCTAATATCCTTATTCTCCAGGTGCACCAGGGCACAGTGCGGTGTTCCTGGACTAACGGGGCAGCTGCAAGACCCTATACCCAGAAAGGCTTTAGGGGCAAGGAGTCCCACTGGGCCCCCAATAAGCATATGTTTCTCTTCATAATTACCATCTCCTGGCTTCTCACAGTCAGCTTCCATATAGATTCAGATTGGAAAAATTGCTCACAGGGGGCTGAGAAAACCCCGACTCAAAGCAGATACAAAAATTAATCTTAGTCACAATTCACAGTTAGAAAAGAAGTAATTTGGGAAAAAAGTGTTCCTCATCCATTCTTTTCCCAGAAGTTCAATGTTAACAGAGATTCTGGAAGCCCTTGGTGTCTTGTAGCTCCAGGATTGAAAGCCAAAGGCAACTGACACGTCTGCGTGCTTGTCTCCCCCCAAATCCACAAGCCGAGACCCTGGCACCACACACCAGTGCCAGGGGACAGAGGCCAGGGCGGGGCCTCGATCAGAGGGACTACTGCCCTTGCAAAGGAGGCCGCGGCACCGGGCACCTCTTCTGTCACGTGAGGACTTGGAGAAGGAAGCACTTCGGAGAAACGGCCCCTCACGAGACACTGAACCTGCCAGTGTCCAGCTCTTGGACTCGGTCTCCAGAGTTGCAAACAATGTTCAGAAGTGACCTGTCCACAGTATTCTGTTATGGCACCCTGAATGGACTCAAAAAGCAACTGTTCTGATATACATGACATACACGAAATGTAGGAAATATCAGGTGCACCGCAATATACATGGCCATTTTTACAAACAAGGATAAAGATTTTCAGGAACACATATAATGTTGTCCACCACCTGCTTTGCTGGGAAGGGGAGGAGGCAAGGCAGGGGTTGCTGGTGCTCCACTTTCTGCAGCTGTCACCAGCTTGGATGCAGCACGAGGCGTCCGTGGCTCAGTACTCAGGTGGTGGCACCTTGCAAACACTGCCCATGCACTCCTGCCGAGGAGCTACGCGCCAGGTTCTTCCGGGCACCAATGCTAGCACAGGGACCTTGTGCCTGCACAGACCTGGGCTCTGAGGAGGTGCTTTTTTTGAGCACTCGCTCAGTGTAGCAGAATGTTGAGATCATGAACTGGGCACCATGGCGAATGCAGAGGCCAGAACGGAAACAGAATATGCTCTCCAAAGAGCTGAGGTTTGACTAGGGACATTCTATATATCACAAAATCAACTCTGTCCCATTTAAGAAAAAAGCAGTTTGTTTTTATATGTAATCAGTAAGTACCTGCTCTTCTTCCCAGGATAGCAGAGTCTTGGCTTAAACTTAAACACAAAACTAGCAAAACTTTTTATCAAGTGGATTAACTCTAAAACTTGGACAGCATAAATCTAATTGGAAAAAATTTCATGTTCTATTAAATCTGCATTTCTCAAGACTCTATAAACATCATAGCCAAGAAAGAATGACAAATGGAGTGACAATTTAAAGGCCTACACTTCCGGCTGTCTTGAGAACTCCGGGCAGAGGGTGCGATGGGACCAGGACTCCACGTGGAAAGGAACGAAGGCCTTGTACTGGCTGTGCCCTGGATGTCTTTCATGATACTACAGAACGTGTCCTCTGGCTGTTTATACACAGAAACCCCTACCGGGCAGGGGTGTCTCCTGGCCCTACCTTTTGGCATTGTCGAGAAGGATGAGCATACTGGCGCCTTCATCATCCTGAAAGCTCTCATAGTGATGGCGGTCGGCATTGCCAATCAGGTAGTCAAAGACGGCCGTGTCGATGATGTCCAGGAGGCGTGGGCCCGAGTCATAAGGGGACGTTTTCTTCACAGCATCACAGTAACTCTCATCATATTCCCACCTGCAGGCAAGCACCAGCACGGAGTTACTGCCGAGCGCCAGTATTCTTACCTGGTACCATTAAACGAGAAGACAAGGCCCCTGTTTAGCGAGTTTGCCCCCGGACAGAGTGTGGCTCCTCAAGGTTGGCACCTGGCCTGACCCTGAGGAGAAGGAAGCAGTGGCCCACGCTAGCATGTACCTGGCCAATTTCCCCTCTCGGTAGGTTCTGCCCCACGGGTGTCGGTGTTTCTGCAGGGGCCACACGTCTGGAAGCCAAAGCGTCACAGACCCCTCCATCGTGTCTCCATCAGCACAGGCGGGCTCCGTTTCTCGGCAGTAGTAACACTTCCCGTAGAAACAAGTGTTGTTCCCTGGAAGACAGGAAAGATACACTGAGGGGGGAAAAAAGGAGGATTCCCCTCCAGAAGCAGCTGAGTAAACAAGCACCATGAGAACAAAGATCCTCAATCATATCTGTCTAGGTAATAAGAGTACAGCATATAAAAGTTTGAGAGTACAAAGAGAGACACATCAGAAAGCACATCTCCCTCCCCTTCTCCGTGGCTTTCACCCACGCTCTCCCAGACCACTCCCACATTCCGCCCACCCCCAGGGAGCTGAGGTCTGGACAGAAGGTCCAGGGGAGCTAAGCTGTGCTGAGGATGGTTACACGCAGGGGTAAGGCATGGGCCTGGGAGCAGGAGGGGGAGCAGAGAAGTTAAACAGAAAAGGAAAGCTCATAGTAAACCTTGTGCTGTCGATTCAGAATTGGAACTGGTTTATACTCACACATTCTCAAAGACACACACGTGTGTGTGTGTGTGTGTGTGTGTGTGTACACACGTCCTCTTTTTAAGAGAACCTGGATAATGACTCCTACATAGCAATGAGCAAGCATATTAGATGCTACCTACATATTAACATTATGAATTCCATTAAGAAAAAAGACCTATTTTAGTTTTATTGGAAAGGCAGAGTTACAGAGAGAAAGAAAGAGGAAGTGGGGAGAGGAAGAGAGGGAGGGAGGGAAGAAGGGAGAGAGAAAAAAGAGTGAGAATCTTCCATCTGCTGGTTCATTCCCTAAATGGTCTCAACAGCCAGAGCTGAGCCTATCCAAAGCCAGGAGCCAGGAGACTCTTCTGGGTCCCCCACATGGTGTAGGGGTGCAAGTACTTGAGCAAGTCTTCTGTTCCCTTCCCAGGCCATTAGCAGAGAGCTGATCAGAAGTGGAGCAGCAAAGACTGGAACCAGAGGCTTAGCTTGCAGTGGCCTGAATTCCATTTTATTGCATTTTATTACTTTAATGAAAGGAACCAGGGTTGATTAGTGAACACAGCTGTCCCTGGGGTTTGGCCAGGACAAACACAAGAACCTGGACATGCTGCAGTACAGAAGTGCTCGGAGTGATGGGACCACTGAAATGACACCGGCGCTCGTGTCCAGGGCTCTTTGTCTGAGCACAAAAAGAATAGTAACAAACTAAGTCAGTAGTTAAGCCTGTAAATTCAGAGTAATAAAAATGAGACAGGAAGGTAGACTGAAGACTCCTTTTAATACAATGGCAAATAATAACATCTACAATTAAGGGTAAAATTAGAAAATTACCATTTGGCAATAATCTAATATAACTGATTCAAAAAAGGATTATCAGTAAATGCTAAAAGTGGTGAGTGAAGGTTTCATAAGAAATGGGATTTGTCACCTTGCAAGTGCCAGTACCCCAACTGGCGCCAGTTCATGTCCCCACTGCTCCACTTCCCATCCAGCTCCCTACTTGTGGCCTGGGAAAGCAGTGAAGGACGGCCCAAAGCCTTGGGACCCTGCACTTGTGTGGAAGACCTGGAAGAAGCTCCTGGCTGCTTTTTCCTGGCTTTGGATTGGCTCAGCTCTGGCCGTTGCAGCCACATGGGGAGTGAATGAACGGATTGAAGATTTGCTCTGTCTCTCCTCTGTGTAAATCTGTGTACATTAAAAAAATATTAAAAAGTTTAAAAAGAAAAGAAATGGGATTTGGAGGCACTTCCACAAGGTCATGAAAAAAAATAATTAAAAGATATCTACGAACCGGTGCGACGGCCTAGTGGCTAAAGTTCTCGCCCTGAACGTGCCGGGATCCCATACAGCTGCTTTTTTTTTTTATATATTTTTATTTTGAATTTTGAATTGTGTGGTACAATTTTGTGTAGGCTGGGAATTCCCCCCGAAACTCCCACCCCCCGTCAGATTTTTCCCATTTTGTTACAATAGTGTAGTCCTTCATAAGGAATCATAATTCCATCAGTGTCTTATTTAAGTGTACCTGATAGTGTTGGTATAGACAATGTCAAACATATGGTTGCTGGTTCTAATCCCGGCAGCTCCACTTCCCATCCAGCTGCCTGCTTGTGGCCTGGGAAAGCAGTAGAGGACGACCCAAAGCCTTAAGACCTGCACCTGCATGGGAGACCTGGAGGAAGTTCCTGGCTCCTGGCTTCAGATCAGCGCAGCACTGGCCATTGCAGTTACTTGGGGAATGAATCATTGCACGGAAGATCTTCCTCTGTCTGTCTCTCTCTCTATATATATGTATCTGACTTTCCAATAAAAATAAATGAATCTTTTAAAAATATACATATCTATTTGAAGTTTACGTACGATAATGTATCTTCCATGAATTTTTGTCAGCTCCCCTCTATATGGTTCTAGAATATACCTGCCTACCAAATATTTAGTACTTATTTATTAGCAAACACAGCAAATGCTGGCCTACTTCCCAGTGGAACAGCATCCTAATGAAATGCTAAGAGCTCCTCTCACCTGTAGCGGGACACACAGATCTACTCGGTGCACCTCGTGATGTGACGTGCAAAAGGGCATTCTCACTTCTCTGATTCTGCCCCCATGTTTTCAATCAGAGGAAGCATTCAACAAACCCACATGTACATGTGGTCGATAAGGTTAGTGACCTAAACTCTTCAGCAATGTCAAGATCACGCTCAAATAAGGAGAGGGATTTTTTTTTTTCCTGAACGGCTGATGGAAGTTACAGAGAAAAGCACTGAACACTGAATTTATACTAGACATGAAAATCTAAGTGGAAAATCGAAGTAAGGTCTATGGATTAGACAGCAATATTGGGTCAACGCTAATCTCTTGATTTCCACGGCTCAATGTGCTTACATAAGAGTGTGTCCGGCCAGCTGGGGAACACTGACATTTTAAGGGCACATTAAGCAAAGTAATGAGACATTATCATCTGCAACCTAGTTTCCAGTAGCCCAACAGTGCCAACCAGGGAGGGATCTCCAGGCTCAAGATCATTTCCTGCAACCACTACAGAAATTTAAAATGATCTCAAAATAGAAAACTTTTTCAGTAATAAAAAATGTAAAAGGTAAACAATGCTTGTGCTTTGCCCTACTACCCCCTGAAATGACATCATGAGACAAGCTAATTTCTTACACCTAACATATCTTAACACTCATTTTATTTATTTTTTAAAAAGATTTTATTTTTATTGGAAAAGCAGATATACAGAGAGGAGGAGAGACAGAGAGGAAGATCTTCCGTCTGATGGTTCACTCCCCAAGCGGCTGCAACGGCCGATACTATGCCGATCCAAACCCAGGAGCTCTTCCAGGTCTCCCACATGGGTGCAGGGTCCCAAGGCTTTGGGCCATCCTTGACTGCTTTCCCAGGCCACAAACAGGGAGCTGGATGGGAAGTGGGGCTGCAGGGATTAGAACTGGTGTCCACATGGGATCCCGGCGTGTGCAAGGTGAGGATGTTAGCCACTACGCTACCACGCCGGGCCCAACACTCAGTTTATGTTAATGCTATTTACCTAGTTGAGAAGGATGTAAGCCCATGTGAGCAACTGATTCAGGTGGGGAAGGTTGAGGCACAGAGGAAGGTGGGTGGATTAATGCTTATCCACTGGGGAGGTGAGGCTGGGAGGGTGGAGGGTAGGGGGTCACTCCTTGCTGCCAAACTACATCAGCACCTAGCGATGGGGGACGTCCACTCATTGTCATGTTACAGACCCCAACGTGGAGAAGAATGTTCTAAGCATGTCACCTGAGTAGTTCTGATAGTTCTAACACACTGTTGGGCTAAGAAAATCTTTCCAAGGTCCATTGGTTAACAAAGTCCTCCTTAATCCATCCACACGCCCAGACACCTGCTGTCAAAGCTAGGCCAGGAGAATTGTCCAACCTGCTCTGCTTTCCATCCTCTGATAAGGCACTCGATATCCACTGATAACCCAAATGAGCTGGCTGTCATGTCCCCCGTGTATTTCTGGGCATGCCATTCACTGCACAGGCATCAGCAACTGAGGAGGCCCAGTCCTAATGCATGCACTATAAGGCCAGATCACATTTTCTGATTGTCCCTGTAGCTGGAGTTTGAGTCCAGAGGTCTAGTTGGAAAGTCCCCCAAGAAACCTTGTGTAGGGTGACCCCAGACCTGACTTGCGTGGGCTCCAACTTAGTCTGATACCTGCATCAGCCTACAAACACCAGTGAATACAGCTGCCTAGTCAGTACCACCTCCAGCTCCATCTCCTATGCAACTGATGGGTGCTGTGGGTTAGCTCAATCCAGGCCTCCACAAACCTGGCCCTTATGTCCACCAGCAGAAACTGCAGCCTAGTTGGGGTGACTCTCAATAACCCCAACCAGACTCGTCCTCAGCCCTGATTCCTGTGCTTCTAGCATGTGCAGGAGACTAATCCAGCGCCTCCCAGCCCTGGCTCTCATGCTCACTAGCTAAAGATACAGCCTAGCAGATGAATGCCCAGTTTCCCTTGCACTTGCCAGGGAGTATTGTGGCAAAGCCTGGTTGACTCATACTTATTCTAGCTCTTTCATGTTCCAGTGAATGCAGTGGCCTAACCTAGCCTGGTCCTCCCACAATCTAGCTCGCATGTAGGCTGACATTTGTTGCAGCCCTGCCTGGCCCAGTCTGCCCTAGTCCCAGCTCTGACATTCACCAGTGGAGCAGTGGCCTGGCAGGGGAGTCCCTGAAGCTTCCCTTACAGGCTTGTTCCCGGTCATGGTTCTTGCATGTGCTGGTTGGTGCCGTAGCACGGCCTGGCATGGCTCTTCTTACCTTTGCATTTGCCAGTTTGGCACAGCCTGATACATCCTGCATCTAGTCCTGGCATTCACTGGCGGGGACTGCAGCCCAGTCCAACTGGCCTTCAATTATTCTGACTTTCATTAGGAGTGATACAGACTGGCCCCACCTGGCACACCCTTAGATGCTATACCCATGTGAGCCAGCAGGTGCTGCCTCTTAGCCCTGCCCATCCCACATTTACTCTGGCTCTCACAAGTGCCAGTGGGTAATGGGGCCTGTCCCAGTCTGGCATGGCCTCAGACCCAACCAC